ATCAAACCTAGGGAGGGCTCTCAGTTCTTAGCTGACAGTAATTACCCTCAGCCTGAGAGATTTGGTTAAAAAAGGTCACTAATTAATTGCATATTTTGGGGTGTGTGTCCTATTGTCCGCTTGCCTTATTTGATGCAGTTTTTTTTTTTTTCATGAACATATGCTTAGAGATAAAGCTTATCCATAGAACACAAATTTTGGTTGAGTTACAGTAGATGAGCTTAGCTATTTTAAGGAACTCTGTATTGGATCATGTTTAAAGCAAATAAAATAGTTTGTCATGCAAATGATCGCATTCTGAATTTTTTTTTTTTTTTTTTTTGTATAAACACACAGCTTCACATTCTTCATTTGTTGAAAATGTTCAGTTTTTGGTAGCTGAGGAAAGCTCCTTTCATTTAGCTTCATTAAATCATCCCAATTGTTTAAAGGCACACCGGATTATCATATAGTAACCCACAAAAAAAGACAATAGTAACACAGAAAGGCAACATTTAAAATTTCTTTAAATGTGTAAGCAGAAGTCAAGGGGAGTCAAACGTCAACAGGAAACAGTTCGAATTGGAGAATCTCCAGGAAATCTGAAATTGGTCTTTTTCATTGGTAAACTATTATTCCCACCAAACATTTATTGACTAGTTGCTGTGTGACAGGTACTGCTCAGGTACGGGGCATAAAATAATCTTTAAGAACAAGATCCCTGCCAGGGGCACTCGGCTGACTCCGTCCATTAAGCGTCCAACGCTTGGTTTCTGCTCAGGTAATGATCTGAGGGTTCGTGGGTTCGAGCCCCATGTTGGGCTCCTTGCTGACAGTGCGGGGCTTGCTTGAGATTCTCTCTTTCCCTCTCTCTCAGTCCCTCACCTGCTTGTGCTCTATCTCTCTCTCAAAATAAACAAACTTAAAAAAACAAAAAAAGAACTAGATCCCTGCCAGGCAGAACCAATAATCAAATAGTTAATGAGCACTGTGTCTTAGGTGTGAAGCACCTCACTGGTTTAAAAGCCAAATCCTCTGAGGCCTGATGTACCACAGTGGGAACCCTGCCATACATGGAGGGAAGGAGAAAAGCAAAGTGGTAAAGAATGAGAGAGGAAATGCTGGAGAACCATAATGAGGAAAAAATCGGGTCATGTTGTAGGTAATGCACTTCCTCTACGGCAAGGAAGGACAAGTCAATATCGGATTGCATTTCACACACTGGTTCAGAATAACATTTGTATAATGTTTTGCAAACTTAAAATTAAAAGCTATTTTCAAACCACCCTCCCATCAACCTTGATGATAATAGCAAAGAAGGCTTTATTGCATCTTGACCATACAGATGAGCAAACTGAAGCCAGGCCAGTTTAATGATTTGCCAGAGGTCACAGAGTGTGTTCAGATCTGGGTTTGAACTTCAGTCTTCCGACTCCAAATTCTGAGCTCTTCTCAAGTTTCAGGAAGGAGATGAGAGTAGCTGGTTGGTCTGCAAACTAGATTGGCACAGACCACCTCACCCAGGCGTGTGCAGGGGAATGGTAGATGTAGACGTGAAGGAGAGACACAGGCTAACACCGTCAGGGGAGATATGCACATGTTCCCAATACTGTCGAGGACAATGGAGGGCTTTTTAGTGAAATGTAATACGTATGTGCACTTCATACCATAGCAAAGGTCAGCAGGAGCCATTGCTTTATTCTTTGCTAGCTTTGTTCTGTTGAAATTATGGATTAGCAGATGTCTCACTCAGGTCCAGCCCTTAAACAAAATACTGGCAGAGGGATTCTCTGGTCAATAGTCAATCTGAGGATGACCATCTAAGACTCAGAGCTCACTGAAAAAGAAAAAGTAGGAGTAAATGGGGTTGATCTCTCTTTGTTGTGTTCACAATGGATTTGGCATTTAACATTTTCCTTGGAATTAGAAGACTAGATGTGTGAGGCCAATACAATGACAACAAAGCAAAGGCATCTGACCATGAGACTGCAACATTGTTTGTAAAAAAACAAACAAACATATATATATATGTATAATTTGAATTAAATTTTAGATTTAATTTAGTTCAAGGAGGTTTTACAATGTTGATGAAATGTGCGTTTTCAATCTGAAGCTGAAATAAATCTGTGCTCCCGAGTATAAGTAGAATAAAGACAGAAGTATTGTTTTATATGAAAGAACTTGCATCCAGTGACAACATTGGAAATCTGAAAAGAAAATAATTTTAGAGTTTTCCCAGAGGTAAAGGAGTGTCCAACTTATGTGGACTTCTTCCTTCTCATGATAGGTAATCTCAGTTTTGAGTTTTTAATAAGTGATTGTTTAAGTTATATAGGCTTTATTTATGTATTCCTGGAGATGCTTAGGTCATGATGTTGCTAGCCCATTGTAATGCTCACCACAAGAAATCAGAGGTGCTGGCGTGTGAGTAGTTACTACACTGTTTGGATCCATAGGCCTGGCACAGTTACCCAGGTATTACAAGTATTGCTTACATCTGGGCACTTTGCCCTGGGTTCTGTGCTTGGGGCCCTTCTGCTGGCCCTTCACTGGCCAGTGACTCCAGGAGGCAAGAAACAAGAGAAGTGACTCAAGTGGAATTTAAAAGGACATAAAATCAATCCAGAAATCTGCCTGGTGATCTGCAAGGCAAAGTAAGGTTATCTCCTGACAAGCAACAGTGTCCATGTCTATGTTTTATTTTAGAGATGTCTTGCTTTTCAGGGCTGCTTTGGTCTTCATTGTAACCTAACGTCAATTTTGAAAAGAATTTAGATTACGGATTTGAGAAAACAAAAATATCCCATGGTACAATTTTTCTCTAGAGTCTTACTCTCTTGCAGGGTCTTCTAAAACGTAGAAAAAATTGATCTAGTATACAATTATTGAATATTTGCTCTTTGTAACATAAGGGGGAAATGTAGTATTGTTCATGTCTAGAAATCTCTTAAGTAAGCCGTGAAAGAGAGTTTACAGAAAAACTGACTTAGAGTACTGTGTTCACAAACTTTCTTCTGATCATCATTGTAAGGCTAAAATCTTTAAAGTAAGGCAGTGAGATTTGAGTAGATTGATGCTGACCAGGAGTACTGCATATATTGAAAATAAAAGTGCTAAAATGGAATACCTTAAAAAATATCACTTTATCTTTTGAACCAATTTTTATTTTCAAACCATGTTTTGATCTACGAGATTATGCAGCTACATATTCTTTATTTTTTTACATGAAAGAAGCAAATTAAAACTAGTAGCAGTGACTGATGTCTTTAAATAATAGGGCTATATCCTGGAAGTAGTAGAAAATCAGCTCAATTTTCTAGATTTCTTATTTCCTCCTCCCCTTTCAAGTTCAAGTTCAGTGTTCAAGTTTTGATGGCTCCCAATCCTGTATCAGCCCATTTCCCTGCTACCATCCTAGCTCAGCAATTTTTTTATTTAGCAATTTTTTTTTTATTATCACACCTTTGCTTTTCTGCAGGTCGTTTTTTTACAAAACAGCCAGAATTATGTTTTTATGATGTACGTCAGATCTTGTCACATGCCGCTGGATTTTGATTACACTTTGAATAAAAGCCAAAATCCTTTTTACTGCCCATGAAGATCTGGCTCTTTAAACTCCTCATCGTGGTCTACTTACACTCCCTGTACCCACCCTGCCTCCTTCTGTACTCCAGTTACCAGGGAGTTCTTAACTAATTGGCATGCTCAGATAGGTGACCTTGCACTTAATAGTTCCCCTTCCTGGATTGCTTTTCCACGAATCTTATCAGCATTGCCTTCTCGTTGTCATTACTGACTCTTCCTAAAAATCACCTTCCTAGAGATCACCCAGTCCAAGGCAGCTCCCAGTCTCTTACAGTGATATCACTCTGCTTTGTTTTCATGTATTCTATTATATAACAAATCTTTATTGAGCACCTGCTTTGTAACAAGGAACACAGTAAAGTTCCTGCCCGTAAGGGAAATGTCATTCTAGTAACGGGGGTTAATCACTAATCGTCACTACCGGGGACCCCCACCCTGACCCAGTGACGTACGATGCAGAAAGCACTGGTATTGTTTTATTTCTGCTGGAATTTAGTGAAGAGAACTTTCAGAGAGCCCTTTCTTTCTCACACTTTCACCTCCTATTTCTGCAACGGTACCTCCACAATGGGAGAGGTGTCGAGGTATGGCTTAAGGGACACAACTACGAGGGTCTTAGCCCTCCAGAATTCGCTGTACACATTCTTGAGCAAATCGCACTGCCTACTTTCTGCATTAATTTTCTCACTTATAAAACGAGGTAGTCCTATCCGTTTCACAAGGTGTTTGAGTGAATTCATCATGAAAGTACTTGATAAAATAGAGCACCAGCCAAACGGCCCATGTACGTGAGTTGTTGGACGTTGTCTGCAGATTTCTCTAAATTTGCTGACACGTCTCCCATCTATTCCCAAGGGAGCTTCTTGACTATATGCCTCTGTTTTCTTGTCCACTGGATAAACAATGCTGAATAATATTTAGCTTGTGTCTAATGACTGCATCTCGTTTTGATTCTATCCTAACAGCATTAACTGTTTGTTCTCCTACAGTACTTTGGAAGTTTGCTCGTCATTTTCTGTGTGGAACTGGCTTGCGGTGTTTGGACGTATGAACAGGAGATTATGGTGAGTTCAAAGTGGGATACAGTTACAATCTGGACAATCTCTAGTGCAGATTTCTAAATCACATACTTTGGAGTTATTTAGGCACATGATTATTAATTTGAATGTTTATACTATATGATAACAATGATGGTCCCTATACCTCTGAAAATTAACATTTTCTTGTCTGTGTCTAAAGCATAGTTCCAAATCATAATTTGTAATGTTTTATTTGCTGTACTATATGTCTTTAATTCCACAGGTTGCTTAAACACGGATACAACAGACTACAAATAATAGGTGTCCTAAAATAATTATGCCAACTTTTGAGTGTGTAATAGGAAACATTTGTGTTTGCAACAGGATCTGGGAGAGCTTGAAAATGTACACGTAAGCCTCAGAAAATGCCCACTGCAGCTGTATGCTGATGAATAGGAAGCATGCATCTTCTGTTCGCAACAAGCTGAGCCATCTTCTACTTTAAGAATTATATTCGAAGAGTTGCTGTGTGTTTACTTTAGCCTAGAAACACTCTGCTAGTTTGAGACTTGGCTACCTGAAAACAGCTCTGAAGCATTTTTTTTCTTTCATTTTATCAACTGAAATAAACTTTTATAGCTATGAATGAGAGAAGGAACAAGGGTCAGAGTCTCTCAGTCTTAAGATTTTACCAGTCTTGCTTGGTTTATCACTTGCCCCTCACCCTTGCGCAACACTAGGCATTATTACTTTTTTAACGTTTGCCCACGTCATTGGTGAAAATTGGTGCGTTTATCGCCGATGAGGTTGAACATCTCTGCATATTTGATTGCTGGCTGTTTTCATGGTGGCAGGCCAGATTTTTCCACTGCGAGCATCTTGGAGTAATTCTGTTTCAGGAAGATGATGTTTTTCAACAAGTAGTCCTTGGACTGTCTACAGCAGGAGTCACCCAGGGCAGTCTTTAAAATGCACATTATAGGGCACTAGGCCAGAATAGAGGGGAAAGCAGAAGAAGAAACGGCAGGCACCAGGCATCCACATTTGTGACAAGTTCCCCAGGTGAATCCTCAACATTTTAACATTTAAGAGCTTTTAAAAAGAGAGAGGTTATTTTGTATTTATTTCAGAGAGGCATTTCAGCAGTTGCGTAATAAAATAGAAGTGTTTTGGTACCGATACAGTTATTGAAGATTCTGGGGTGAATCTGTTACTGTCCTGTGAGACTGTTTTGAATCCTAAGCGGTAATTAGAGACTAATGGGTCCTTTGCATATGCTAATTTGCATGTAAACGATGCTTTGGCACAGCCACATCTCTGAACCCCTCCGAAAACAGTAGTGCTTCCCTGTCTGACAGCTCTTAGTAAGAAGAGAGAATTTATGATGGTTTTTTTTTTCTGTTAAAAATTGAAAAGTCAGGGCAGGTTCTAACTAATTTTAAGAAAGTTAAAAACTTTCTTTAAAACGAAATCTCCTATTAAAATAGGAATGTTCTTGCTGTCTTTGAGAATCACGTTTTCACTCCATCCCTAGAAACATCGTATATTTAGGGGAGTGAAAGAGTAGTTCTTCCAGACTCAGTTTCTATGCTTTATTGATAAAGAGATGTTCTCTTCTAATTTTTTTCTTTCTTCCCAAGATACATATATCTTCTTGACATTCAAGCAATAGATAGTAGTTGTATAATTAACCTCTGATCCCGTCAGCTCAGCTTTTGATCATGTTCTTTTTGATAATTAAAGGTTTTTAGAAATAAGTTTGCTCTCTATGGATTTTAAAATGGTTTGTATAGTTTTTATGTCATACTGATATTTGATAAATCTCCCAAGTTATAACAAATATGAAGTGAATTAATTTAAGGTATGTGAAAGTAACTGTTTTGATTCTAATATAATCTAATTCTAGAAGATACTTTCTTCTGTTGTGTTAAGGGACAGTTGCCACATATCTTCTTGGTGTCATAGTGGTACTATATGGATGCACACTGCCATTTCAGTTGAGTGCGTACATCACTGTTTGCTTATACAAATCTTCCCCACTAAGTCATCAGGATAGAGCAAGGGCTGTTTGGGCTGTTTAAAAGTGAAACGTGGAAAATGGTTCTTTGGAAAAAAAGTTTGTCAGAATTTTTTTTATTGCTTTTGCTCTAATAGCAGTGTGAAAGAAAAGTGCCATTAAAGTTTATTAGCTGCCAAATTTTGCAGAACCCAGCCTTTGCATAGAATGGGCTTTGTGCTCTTAGCTGTTCCATGCAAGGAGCCAATAACTGTGTGTTTTCCTTTATGGCCAAATCACAGTATTTTGTGCCAGAACCTCAATGATCTCTGTTTCTTGCCATATTTGGTCTCAGATTGTGGTCACAAGAGGGAAACAACTTATATTTATTTTGTAAAATAAAATTTAAAATAAGACTATTCTGATAACCAAATCAAGAGATTTGACGTCAGTCTGTTTCCCTGTTATTTCTGTTGCTTATACATAGTTACCTCCTATTCGTTCTTTCTCTAGAAAAATCAATATTATTAACTGTTTCAGATTATAAATTTCTAGAGAATTTATTTCCTTTCTATGTATATTATGTTCAAAAGCATATGAAATAATAACTTATAGTGAGTAGCCTGAGTTTTGGTTTAGTTACCTGAACTTTGTCGAAACCGTGCGAACATGGAGTATACCTGGTCAGACCATTTTTCAGGGGGAACAAAGTTGTGTGCCCCAGTGTTGGCATGTTTCCTTTTATATGCACATTTCCAAGTATTAAAAAAGAAAAGTAACAAAGGAAAACAATGAAGAATTTCTGTGGTCAGGAATTTTGAAACTACTTCTATTGGTATTACTGTCTTTTCAAAATAAGATTTCAAAATAGTCCTAATCTTGAGTTAGCGTCAAGCTTGTTTGGCTAAGTTTGGTCTGTATTACCCGATAGATCGGATATGGATATCTGTCCAGTTCCCCAGTTACATATTGTAAACCTGATACCACATGTGTGGTGAGACTATGATGTGTATGCATCAGTTTCTCCCCTGGCATTGTAGATAAAGCACTGCATGATATGCTGACTAGGTTTCTGGCCAACTGTTGGGTTGTGTACCTGAAGCTGTCATGATTAAACACTCTGTTAAGGGAGACTGTGCTAGGTGACTGGGGGCAAGAAGCACAAAAAGCGCTTTAATCTGAGAGGTTTTCTTTCTAAAATTTTAGCATGCACCCGAAACCCAATGTTTGGACAGATATTTACACACTTAATCCACAGTGAAGCTTGACTTGAGCTGAATTCTTTTCCTTCTTAATTCTTATCCCATTATTTTAGTGCTATAATCTGCAGTCACTTCAAAGACCAACTCCATAGCATTCTGAAATCAGATCAGAGGACTTTTCTGGGCAGATCATTTGTTATGAGGAGCTCTTTAGCTGGATCTGTAGGATATACAGTAAACTGCTTGTTTTGTGACTTCCTAATGCTTGATATTAGCATTAAATGATTTTGCTTTTTTTTCCTTTGTTTAATGTAAAGAACTTCCTCATTTACTGCAAACATCTACACATAGAGATTGTTTAATACGTAGCTAATAACCTTGAGCTTAATTTGGGCCACAAATATAAGTTTAAAATAGCATCTGTTAATTGCAATACATTCCAAGTATGTGTATGAGTCTGTGAGTGATTGTATTTATCAATATGTGAACGTTTGTGTTCCTGTATGTGTGTGTTTGTGTATTCCAGCTGTTGATGTTTTGTTTCTTATCTCCAGGTTCCAGTACAGTGGTCAGACATGGTCACTTTGAAAGCCAGAATGACAAATTATGGCTTACCTAGATACCGGTGGCTTACCCACGCTTGGAATTTTTTCCAGAGAGAGGTAAGTGCTACAGTGTCTGAGGCAGAGGGTATGGAATAAATGGCACACTTTCAAAACAAATGTTCAAAGCTTTGGCTTTGGTCATTTTCTCTGTGCTGAAAAGTGAAGCCTATGATTCAGTTACCCTGGGTGGAATTCTTTACTGAGAAATACCTTAAGTAACTCCATGCCCTTCTTTTCTTCCTGTGTGTACCATTTTCCCCTTCATTTCACATGCTTCACATATATTTTAAGAATTTCTTAAGAGCCATGTTGCTAACCTACTGTGGAGTTTTATGAGAGTTTCTTGATATATATCCAAGTTTTATTTGAATACATAATTTTTCACGACCTTTAGGGCTGTCTTTATTTTTAAACAGTTAATTTTTAAAAAAATAATGGTTCTTATTGGGGAATTAAGCATCAGTATATCATTGAGAACATAAGCTTTGGGGCACCTGGGTGGCTCAGCCGGTTAATCGTCCCTCTCTTGATTTCAGCTCAGGTCATGATGTTGCAGTTCATGGGATGGAGCCCTGTGTCAGGCTGTGTGCTGACAGCATGGAGTCTGCTTGGGATTCTCTCTCTCTCTCTCTCTCTCTCTCTCTCTCTCTCTCTTTCCCTTTCCCCCTCCCTCATGCTCTCTCTCTCTCAAAATAAAGAAATAAACATTTTTTTTTTAAGAAGCATGAGCTTTCTAGTCAGATCTTGGTTCAGATTCTGGCTCTGCTCCTTAATATTACATGAGCTTCTCTCATTTACTTAACGTCTTTAGCCTCAGTCTCCTCACCTGTAAAATAGGGATAATAAAATTACCTGCCTCCTTGGATTGTTGAGAAGAATAAATGGGATCTTAAGCTTGATCTCATTTAGCTTAAGGTTATTAACTATAGCATTACAAAGCACAGGCACTTTCACCTTTTCTTACCTAACTTCCATAAAGCCCCATGGATATCATCTTCTCAAACACAGCCTATATTTAGATGCTTAAAATTCGGTGACTTGAAGTTAACCGCTGATCTTGCTTCAAGCCAAGCTCTCTGCCCAAGCAGCTTTCTTGTGATTGGAGATGCTGGGGTGACCAAGTATGCCTGTTTCCTTTCGTTTCATTTAGAGCTGGGCCACAACTCATGTGAGAGGCAGCGTCTCCCATGATAGATATCCAGCTTTCTGCTCAGTTCCTCTGTCTGGAATATGGGCAGAGGTTCAAGTACAGGATAATCTCCAAATTTGGCTCCTTGTGTTACAGTTGTCGAGATGGTGAAAATTATCATAGTGACACAGATTTCCTATTTATTTAAATGCTTCCTGACTTTGTTTGTTTACTGTTCATTTGTACTAAAGGCAACGTGAAGGGAAAAAAGGTGAGGCCTTAGGGAATTTATGGTAAGATGTGTTCAGCTACTGCCCTGGGTGGAAGCTGTCCATAGCTCCTTATGTTCTGGGATTTCTGATGTAGACCATAATAAAACAGGCTGGAAAGCAAGGTGAGTTTTTTCCCAGTGGCACAAAGAGGAGCTTTACTTAGGTAGACGAAGTACAGCACTGCAAATGATAGTACATGTTTTTAGCTTCGTTGCCTGGTAAGTTCCCTCCTCTGTATCATGGGCCCAGTTCCCCCAAAAGGAGATGGCGAAGATCTCTGGGCACCCCAAAAGAGTCTTTTAAAGCCCCTATGTGTTAGTTTGCTAGGGCTATGGCCATAATAAGTTACCACTGGGGGCTTGAATAACAGAAATGCATTGTCTCACCGTTTGGAAGGCTAGAAGTCTGAGATCGAGGGGTGCAGGGGTGACTTCTTCTGAGGCCTCTCTCCCAGGCTTGTAGACAGCAGTCTTTTCCCTGTGTCTTCACGTCATCTTCCTTCTGTATGTATCTGTGTTCAGATTTCTCCTTCTTATATGGATGTAAGTCATATAGGAGTAGATCCCACCTTTATGACCTTCTTTTAATTTAATTACATCTGTAAAGGTCCTATCTCCAAATGTGGTCACATTTTGGGGTGAATTTGGGGAAGGGAGAACACATTTCAGCCCATAACACCCCTCTCCCAAAATAAACTGTAGAGCTAAAAGTGACCTGGTGGGGCCCCAGTTTTTCTGACCTTCATTCAGTGCAGTTCTATGCACGTACTTCATTTTAGTGGACTTTCACTCAAGCCTTAGTGATCTTTATTTCATATATTTTTAAAAAACTCATTTTTAAAGGTGTATTTACTTATTTATTTTAACTTAATGGTTGGAGTACAGGCTTTGGAATAAATAGGCTCCTGCCACATACTGGTCTCTGCAAGTTACCTGGCCCATCAGAACCTTTCTTTATATGTAAAGTGGTGGTGGTATTTTCCAGTTTCACAGGATGCTAGCAAGAGTGACCCTCTCTCAATAATGTGGTTTTAAAGGTGGTGAGAAAACCGCGAGAAGAGGTAGACCACAGTCATGCCTAGTGTCGTGGAGGGACCACTTAGGGGAGTTCTCAGGGAAAATTTCATTACCGATTTAGTATCTCCTGTTGACAAAGAAAAACAACTATGTAAAAAGAAAAAAAATGACTCAGTGACTTATTAATATTAAAAAATATATCTGGCACTGAACATGGTATGCTTCAGTTATTTGGAAAAGTCATTTCTGTGGAGCACCTCATTTCCTGACCAGGCCAGATAAATGGGCTGTTCTATTGTGGATGGAGCTTGAGTTCCAAGAACTGTACTTCTGTCGTCAACATAGAAAAACACATGTCCTTAGGAAACGAGAGAAGTGGGTTTTCTCTGAGTGCAAGAATTGAAAAAGCCTGCCTTGGAAATACAGTAGTTTATGATTTTTAGGAAGTGAAGTCTTTTTACTACATATGTTTTTTATGGATACTCAAGGCCTTTTGTAAAATATATGATGTCAAATTATGTTTGACTTAATTTATGATGTTTATGGTATATCTGTAGCTTTTAGAACAAGTTTATAAAAGGAAAGTAGTAAAAATATAAAAAATGTTTCTCAGAAAATTTTAGTATTACTCGTGGCATCAGTAATTCATCATTTACAATAGTCTGAAGATTTTTTTTTTAATTAGTTACTTAGGCAAAAGGAAAAGTGTAAAATGGTTTTTAGTATTTTCCTTGTTTCATTTTACATGAGAAGTTCAGAATTCCTCATAGATGATTTTAGTTGGATTTTGAAATGGTGGATTGTGCTAGTTTATGATACGGTGTTAATCCTGCACACAGATTGGTCTGTTGGGCTACGTAATTTGCAGAGCCAGTCACTCTTGGCAAAGTTCTTTTCAGTGATTGCCAGGAGTCCTTGTTTTTGACTGTGGGGAAGAGTAACTCCCTCTATCCAAGGGCAGAAAATTATCATAGTTAATTATTCTGAATCTAATCTACATATATCCTTAAGCAGTGTTTCTAAACTTTCACCAGAAAAAGTTTTTGCTAATCCTTGGTGAAATTAGATAAAAAGAAACAAAAGACAACAGTAATTTTCCTTAAATCCAATTTTATTCAAGCTAAAGGCATATCATTTCTTCTGAGATCATGGTGCTAGAATATGATACTTTATTTCAAGATTCTCATTCAGTTAAATAAAAATTTGTTGGCCAAACCTGTGTTTATGTTTTGAAAAATTTTTGAAAATTTAGTGGTTAATCAATCCAAGTTGGGTAATCTTTGTGATGTGGACTTTTGGTCAACAACTCTTTCTACAGAGATAATGGAAACGTGTAATTTAATGTCTGAATTTATTAAGCAGTTATATTAGTTAAACTAGGTGATATGCAAATAGATGGATCAACTGTTCTTTAGTAACTAAAGTTTTAATGGTAAATATAGGATTCTTGCTAATGATTTTGTTACTGTGAATGTTCAGTCTGCTGCTGAATGATCACTTATGGAGGACCATACAGTCGTGGAGAGATTCAGCCATGCCTGATCTGTTTGCATGTGTTATGAGCATTATTGTTCAGAAGTGTTCCATTATAGGGTCCTTGGCTGCATTTTTGTCGTCAACATAGAATGTACACACGTTAGGTAATGAGAAAGGTGAGTTTGGCTCTGGGTACAAAAATTTAAGAAATCTAACGTTTAATCTTCTATAAGTTAAGAAAATATTTTTGTAGTTGCTGAGCCTGACCAGTCATTCTTTTGCAGTTTAAGTGCTGTGGGGTGGTGTACTTCACTGACTGGCTGGAAATGACAGAGATGGACTGGCCCCCAGATTCCTGTTGTGTTAGGGAATTCCCAGGATGTTCCAAACAGGCCCACCAGGAAGATCTCAGTGACCTTTATCAAGAGGTAAGGCCATACGTTGTGAACCTATCGTGCATACAAATTTTCTTATAATGACTTTTAGGTAAAGAATCAACAATTTGCCAATGAAA